TATTCTAAATAGCAATCCAAAAGCAAATACTGAGATGTGATGTACCAAGCAACATACATTGCATAATTTAAGTCCTGAGAGAAAGCACAAAGCTATTTGTTTGAAAAGACAGAATTGGATGAAGAAGGATAGCAAAATGGATTAGTGAGAGATGGATCAACAGCTTTGTAATGAATAAATGATGCCAGGAAAGATCACCTATGAATGGCCTTGAAAGTAAAGAATAATAATTTGCTTGGTGTAATAAAAAGTTACCACAGACTGTGAAAACGATCTAAGCGGCTGCATTCTGAAGAGATATGAGGGGCTATAGCACATGTTCAGAAGGCTACAGAAAAAAAAAAAAAAATGACAGCTTTATGAGATTTAGCTATATGGAAATACTGCATCATAGTGCATCTTAATATTATCACGCAAACTTAAACAAAGCATGTTTCTCATACAAGTAGATGGTGTCCAGGTCACATGAAAAAGCCACAAAAACAATTTTTATATTATTATTGTGACAGATCAAAGGATGAGTTACAGGCTAGAAAACAGTAAGACCTCCCTTTAACCATGTTGAACAAGAACTGATTATTACCCACAAGGCCACAGATACAATAGGTGAGACACAACTCACCTAAATTTGAAAGTCTACATCATCAGTATCTACACCTGACCCAGTCCTGTCTTACACACAGTAGAAATCTTACCAATATAATCAATCAACCTTAACAAAGTGCGTGACTAGATTTAGTCAGATAAACCATGCCTGTGGTGGGCTGATCCTGGCCAGCAGCTAAGCATCCACCCAGACATTCACTCACTCCCACTCAAAAGACGGGGCAGAGAATCAGAAAAGCAAAAGTGAGAAAACTTGTGGGTCAAGATAAAGACAGTTTTAGTAAGTTAATGAAAGAAAAAGAAAAAAAAAATGTTATGTAAAGGCAGTCATTCACCACATCCCACAAGCAGATTGAACACCATAAATTTCGCTAACTCTTATCAACTAGATCTCCATTGACTAGCAAGGAACTCAAGAGCAGCTTGCTGAGAATTAGATACCTACAGTGCAGAACCTTTGTCTTATTAACACAATCTAAACTTGGAGAGAAAAAAAAGATTAGGCACTTATGAGTCATCTACATGGATCTAGCAATTGAATTTGTGTGTACAGGTGAGGAACACAGAATGAAATGGAAAGAAAAATGTTCGTATGATGATCATTTATGGGGTTCTAATAAGTTTTAAAGGGAAAGAGAAGAAAACAATCAAGTGCTAGTTCAGGAAGCAAATTAAAGATTTATTTGTTAATTTAGAGATGTCCTGCTCTAGTCTTTCAATAACAGATTTTTGAGAAACACAAATGAATTAGGTAGTGATTACCAAAACATGAAAGCACAATTTTTTTGACTGTCTGTGAAAGTATACAGCAAACTTCAAAACTGTATAACAAAATTAAATTTAGATTCAGAGGTTATTTTTCAACCTTAGATATCAGAATAAAAATAAGGATTCTATGTCTGAAAAATAAGGTGTTGATCTCTTTATTATTAAATGACAGCTGGAAATAATGAAGCATAATTTCTTTTATTGTTTTTGATTTGTGGATGAATGACTTTGCAGTCTGAGACAGTGCAAGCTCCAACTGAATATTTCCATCAATGGCTGCGAGGGGTTTTTTTGTTTGTTTGTTTGGGTTGGGTTTTTTTCCTTGCTTTTTTGGGGGGTTTTCTAGTTTTGTTTGTTTATTTGCTTGGGTTTGTTTTTTTTGTTGTTGTTGTTGTTGCTTTGGTTTTGGTTTGGTTTTGGGTGGGGGCTGATTTTTGGGTCTGGTTTGGTTTGGTTTTTTTTGTTTGGGTTTGGTGGGGTTTTTTTTTTGCTATAAAGATTATCTAATGCCTAGTAAGGTATGAGTTTCTATTATCAGCATCCATTGAACTGAATGCTATTGATCGAAGGATTCCCTCCAAATGGTCAAATATGACTTGGGCATGTTTTAAACAAGCTTCAAAAGCATTTGACAAGTAGTGTCAAAAGATTCACTCTCTGCAGAAATTATTATATAATTTCTTATGGATTCTTTGATAATTATTATATTCTTTATTAGACAACATTGTGAAAGAGTTAGGACAACACCTTAGGCAGAGGCATGTGGTTTTATCTTAGTTCAATGTTAGGCAAGGTAACACCTTACCTTCTAAAGATCCATTTCTTCCACACTGTGCATGGAAGTAAAAACAATTAAATACTCAGGTAGCATGCCTTCTTGTCCTAGACTGTGTCACTGCAGGCCATAATTTCTAACTTATGTGTGTCATGATGGAAGACATTTAAACCTAAACTGACATGTGAGCTCAAGTGTTTCAATTTTCAAGTAGCTGTCTTGAAGGTATCTTACAGGAGTTTGAAGGCTTAAGTCACATTTAGAAACTAATAATTTAGACCCTGAAAATCAGAAGATGAATGGTAGTAACACTTTAAAACTCTTTAAGACTTTATCCAAAATGAAAGATATCATAAGGTCAGTTATTCTGAATTATCCTATGCCTTTATAAATGACTTTTTGGAAGTAAACATTATCTGCATACATTGACTGCTGATACTTATATTATTTTGCTCTTTTGTTTTTCTCACTTATAAGGCAGACACAAAAACCTGCTATTGCATAGGAACTCTCCAGAAAGAATTTCTGAAAATTCTGTGAGGAACAGTTATGAGCATTATTTTTGTCACATTCACTACAACACACTAAGGACAGTGACTTTCCTCTTTGCTTTCTTCCTTTACAAAGGGAAGTCGTCTGTATCATCTAAAATTTAGATTAGAAGTTGGAAGACAGACGTATTACATCAGATCAGAGCAGCTGCCAACCTGAAGAGTCTGAACATGGCCAATGCCAGATGATTAAGAAATCCCACAGTAGGAAATTGTGAAAAACACAGCTCAGTTGGAAGGTCTTTCCAAATTATTCTCAAGCTACTGGACTGCTCTCTACTCCAGAGTATGCAGATTTCACCACTCAGAAAAGTGTTGCATACGAATACAACTGCAGATTTTTCCGTATACTTGCATAATTCAAGTTTATTTCCATATACTTGAATTAACTTAAACATGTTGCTGCAACACCAGATGACACTGTGCTCTGCATGTCAATTATCACTGGTTACTAATTTTTTCCTACCATTGTTAGAATTTCTGTCCTTCATTTAATTATAAAACTTTTTGGTTTGTTTTGTGAATTAAAGGAAACAGACGTAATAAGACCTCTCAAAATTTGGGGTCTTTTCCCTTTGTGGTATATAACAAATGAGACTTTTTGTTTTCTTGCATAACCCTCTCCATGAAAACATTAAAGAATAGTCCTGGTAACTGGAAGGCTTATAACATTAGAAAAAGAGCTAATGCAAGAAGGGTGTAAAGAAATACGTTGTGCTCAACCTAAAGCACCACAAGCATGATAAAATGCTTTGGTATCTAGCTCTTCTCTTTCTCCGTCCCCTAAAAGATTCTGAAATCTTAAGAAGCAGGGAGGAGAGATAAAAGAAAAACAGGTCAGCAGGAGGGAAGACATTCAATGTATTTGTTTTTAACCAGCACAAAATAAGGATAAAATTATTTCTAGAGTACATAAAAGTAATCTAGAAAAGCAAAACAAATATTTCCAGTCTTCACTGAATCTTATTAAATTACTACATTAAATTACTTCTTGGTACAAGACTCAAACAAGAAAATCATGGCTGAAACTATAATCAGTGCAGAACTGTTGTTTAACTTAGTATTTTTGAAGAATTTCAAAATACTGTTATTAGAAGCATTTTAATTACAATTGTTTGTATATGCACATACCAGTGAAATTAGATACTTTGCAGTGTTATGGTATTAAGTTTCTTAAAGTTAAATCATGCCGATGCAGATGTTCCTGATTACTTTAAAAGCACAAATACTTACACAAATCATTTGTTTCCAGCTACAGCATAATTCAATTAAAGGAGTGCTTATAATTTAACAACATGAATGATAGTTAAGTATAGCTAATATGGGAAATTGTTAAGAAATATGTAGTTTACATAAGGGAAGGGGTTAAAGTCCATCTGAGGCAGATAAGCTGTGATTTTCCTGAGACAGATATAAAATATTGCCAAAAGAAAGTGACATTACCAAAGACAAATCAAAAACTGACAGAAGCATTAATTTCCCAGTAGCAATCACTTTATAAACCCAGATTACCAGGACTTTAGGTTTCTGCAGGTCATTGTGCAGGCTTTTGTTTTGGGGACTTTTTCCAGTTTCTTTTTTTTTTTTTTTTTTTTTTTTTTAAGCTGCCAAATGGAGTCTAGCTCCACCCGTGCTTTGTATTGCTGCTTGAAAAGAAACGTGGTAGGTAATGTAATACAGCATTAAAACAGCACAGAAGCTGAAGTATGCAAGCCGTGGCTACAGGCAGATCCTCTCCATGGGTAACGTCTCTGGCAGGAGCACCCTTTATGCACAGAAAGTTGTTAATTTTTCCTGCTGTACTCTGGGCTTCCACAGGTAACTGTATAATGCCAATGTTTCTTCCAGAACAACATCTCTTACAGTGCAATTATCACATAGATATATTTTGTTTTCCATATGAAATGGGGAAAAAGGTGGTCATTTAACTGATAAAACATTGTATATAACCATACGCTGTGTGAATAGAGTAAATGCTTTCTTATCTTTATATGAAGTCTTTGAAAAATTGTCAAAGGCATGAGATAAAGTTCCAGCTCATATAAATTAGCACAATAACACAAGGCATTTCTATCCAAATTTGTACATCTGCTATAGATACATAAGAGTTAAGACCATACATTTTTTCCTTATATTTTTATTTAAATTAAATCAACATTAGCTATATAAGCATGTCCTTGTTTTAACCAGAGATTTATGGTAATATTAAACAAGAAAGGGGAAAAAAAAATAATAAACAGACCAGAGCAATACAGCATGACCAGATTTCAAAGTACGAATCTGAAATGAGTTAACTGTACCTTGAGTCACCTGTTGGATGGCTAGCATCATCCCAGAAACCGTATCAGGAATCAAGTTTTCCTTCCAATTGTAGACGGGCACCCAATTCAAGATGGGCAGCCTTCTCATACACCAGACTTTGATATCTTCAAAGCGAAGAGTCTGGATCTTCCTCCAGACTGCACTTCTTTTCCTTTTTGTTCCCATCATCCTTCCCACCCCCCAAAAAGCAGTTCCTCTTTCAGAAGAGTGCACAGTTGAGGAATCACCCTGATCTGTGTCAGCCTCCAGTTTTCTTCTGAGATTTTGCAGTTCCAAAACTACAGAGAAAAGAAAAAATAACAGAAGCACTTAAGATTTCTGCAGCTGCTCTCTAACTATACTCAATAAAAACACTTATTAAACACTTCAGTCATACAAACAGCTACATGAAATGCAAGAAGAGTTTATAGCAAAGATCACATTTTCTGCTCTTTGCAAAAATTTGGTCTAGTTCTCATGTTAGTTTGTGATTCTTTGCAGTAACCTCCCGCTTTATATTCCCTGTAATGCTTGCGCTTTTGGCTTCAGTCCAGTGGCAAAATGAGGTATTAGTGGGTGTGTGTGCGATATAGGCTGGGCTATGCTAATACGAGAGGGAAGTGCCCAACGGAGCAGGCATCTCCCTGCCAAGCCCAGGAGAGCAGCCTTGGCTCTCATGGGGGGAGCTTTTCTAGCCACAGTCGAAAGGCATGAAGTCCTCAGTAACACTGCTGCTAGCAAACTTGCTATACTCCATCAATGTTTTGTCTTCTAAATTATAGTAAAAAGCTTATGTATGTAGAAAACGTAGAACATCAAGTAGCAATAAGTCCTGCTGAAAACATACACAGATCCTCTGTGCGGGCTAAAGCCTCAGACTTAATTTTAACAAGCTCAACATGCAGTGATGGACTGCAAGCTATCAGCTCCACGTAGGAAGTGCCAAAAACGCTTGTGACAACCACTCTTCTTCAAAGCTATTCCTTTCTGCTCTTGCTAGTCCACCCAGCAAACGCTCTCTCGATGAAGACATTTCACCAAGTAACTTCTGATCTTCTAATTACGTCATGCACCTTGTGTACAATACAAAGTGCTCACACACAAAGTGATAAGAGCATGGAAGAGCTTTAAATGATAAGACATTTAAATGCCTTGTCTGATATGAAGCAAGGACACAGCGGCTTTCATCTAAGATTTCTGTATCTCTGGATGGTAAATAAACTTAAAATGTAAGATCTATCATATGGGTGAATTGTCTTCTCAATCACTATTCTGCAGTAGGCAATAAACATAAATATTTTTTTAATATTTCCATCTTATTTATATACATTAATTTACATTTTATTGTTAGATTAAGACGAACAAAACCAAAACATTGTCCATCCAAAAGAACTTTAAAAAAATGAGACTTTGTTTCCAAATGCAATAGGGAGAAAAGTGCATGCACCACCTTTCATTCTACTGAGTGAAATTCAGGTGGTATCCACTGCTGTGTCCCTTAGAAGTACAATAGGAAAAAAGAAAAAAAGAAATAACAGGAAAAGATTGCTTAAGACAGACCCTCACTTTTAACTATTTCAGGCATAATTACTCTTTGCTCTGCCCATCTTCTAACCATCTACACTTTTTTAAAAACAGAAGAAACACAAGACAGGTTTTTCTTACTTCTATTTGCTGAAATAAACCTCTAAACATCGATTCCTTTTATTTTTTTTAATGTGGGTTTTGTATTTTGCATGTGTGTCCTTGCTTTTAGCTTGAAAGTGCAGTTCAAGGACTTCATAATCAAGACTTTTATGGCTGCCAAGTGTTTCACAGCACAGACCTTTCCCTGCTTTCAATGATCAGAAGTGGACAGGAATCCTTCTAGATACATCAAGAGTTATTCAGCTGTCAGGGGCTACTTAAATAAATAATCAAAATACATTTCTACACATAGATATGTGTGTACAAAGATGTACCCAAATATGGGTACTTGTATAAAAGACTAGTCACATTATTCAAAAAACAAAACAAACAACCCACATGGTTCTCTAGAAGCTCTGAATATTCTGAAACAGTCAAAAAAAAAACCCTTTATGAAACCAAAGAACCATCACTGAACACACAAAACGTACTCTCCATTTTTCAAAATTCATGCACCAAAATTCTGAAGCTGCTTGAAAATGTTTGTAATTGAGACTTTTCCATCTGATAATTTCAGAGTCAGTAAATCTGGACAGTATTCACCAATCCCAGATTAGTATCTGACCTCCTAGGATTAGATACATCAACAGACTTTTATCCCTCACCAATAACAAGGGATGGTTTATCTCCATAGGTGCGTGCATGCAGGAGTGCAAACATCTTACAACAAATACTTGAAAATAAATCCTGTTAGATGCAGACAGAACTGCACATGCAAAGTCTTTGCGATATCTATGCTGATATGGAATTTGTGTGGAAATTTTGTTTTACTCCAAAAATTACTTTGATGAGTAAAAAATTGCATTGTCATTAAATCTGGAGTTGATAACATCACTAGTCTTGCAAAACATTGTTCCTTGTTCTAACTTTGAAATTAATAAAGTAGTCTTAGTTAGCAATGACACAAAGCAACATATCATTTATAACTGCTCAAAGAAATCAAAATGTCTAAGGGAAAACACATGTACAAGTATGCATAACAGCAAGCCTATACCTCACTACACAGCAGTCCAACATTCAAAACTTAAAGAAAGATCAAAAAACACTTTCCTAAAACACAGCAGTATCCTAACTGAAACACATACCATATCACATGCACACAATAGTTAAACATTTTCCCATCAAGCCGCTTTCATTAACCTATAAACCTATAATCTATAAACTTCCAGACTATGAAAACTTGTACCTGAGCTATCAGGACTGTAAGACCCTCTCCTTTCCTGAAACTCGCATATAAAACTTAGTTTTCTGGGACACCAAAGATAGGCATGAGGAACATTTGTTTTTATACATTTAAGTCAGTGTGTTCACACGCACATTGTTGTAAGGTTAGATATTTTACAATTAGAACTTTTAATGATCTTATATAAGTAAAGCCTATTTTCAAGTGATTATATAGTAATTTTTTTCTGACAAATACACAAAAGTATGATTCTAATAGTGTACATATGTAATATGTTATAAAGAGAACTCCCATAAGTAAAAATTCAGAATACAGAGAGCATGTAAAAGGACAGAATTATTGAATCATAGATCAGATCTGGTGGGCTTTTCAATCCTAATTTATAATAGGTTTCATAAAATTGGTGTAGCCTCTATGGGGGAAGTCTATATTTTCATCAGCTCCTCTAAACTTTACATACATTGGATATTTATACACATGATGGATACGTGTAGGTAGGAGGTTTGTTTCTCTAGCTCTGGCCCCAAAGTATATATAAAAAAAGAAAAAAAATCTAACACCTTACTCCAACCTAGACCTCAAAAAGAAAAATTTCTGTCAAACTCTGAAATAGAAGCCCTAATCCCCGCTTCATAGAGAAGCAGCTTTTATAGGAAATCACTGGACTCTGGCATGAGAACTGATTTTAGTCTTCACATAAACCAACAGGAATGTTCAAGAACTATACTTATGCTTACATATGCTCACAGAGGTTAAGTTATTTGTACCTTAGGCAGGCATAGATGCTATGATGGAAATAACATGACTTGCTCTTTGTAAGTTTTCTCGGGGAGACAGATAGCTTACTAAATATCTGCAAGCATCCAATATTAAACCGATTTGAACTAACCAAACCTATATTCCTGCTGACATACATAATTTGCTCCCCAAGAACATCCAGCACATCCAAGTCACTTCCTCATGTTCTCTCATCTACTCTGGGCAAGGAAAAGTACATGCTATCATTAATCCAAAACTACATGCACGTTTCTGGCCAGCTGGTCACTGTCAGAATATTTGTATGATTGAGCTTGGAATATATACTGGATATATAATGATTGATCTTTCCTCACTTTTTCTTCAGTGGGGAAACTAATTTCCATTCCTTCTTGTCTCCCATCCTGACCAACAATTTATGTGAACTCAGTTTTGATACTGCTCTCAATAACAATGGCTAAAGGATCAGGAGGATACTAGATGAAAGACTAAAAAAGAAAAGACAGGCAAAAATCTTGGTAACGCAAGGCTTGTGCCTTTAGGAAAGATGGCTAAAATTCCAAGAGAAATACTATGAAAAATTACATGTTTGGCAAAGCACAGATGGATGGGAATGGAAGTCAGATTTAAAATAAGGGGTAATACATACTAGTTCAAAGAGACCTAAGTGTGCGGTTTGTATATCACAGAACACAGCACATGAGAATATTATATAAGCTACTGGAATGATAAGAGAGTGCTGACAATTGGAAAAACACAAAAACAGTGACAAAAATCCACATCTTCAAAATAGCATTCCTGAATTTTGAGAATTTGTAAAAAAATAGGTTATCAATCACATGTGTTACATAACATATTAAAATAAGTCACGGAAGAAGCATACGTTTAAGTATGCAAATTATTTACTACTGAAATTTAAGAAACTTCCCCTTCTGAAATTCTGGTGCATCAAAACCAGACATAATTCACAAACTCCAAAGCTTGCCAATATATCTTCCACAGTTGGATGCAATGCATTTATTTTCAGTAATACCTAACTTTAAAAGCAATCCTGATTTCAATCATCAAATACTTAAATGTGGACCTAAATTGAAAAAGATATGATTCTTGCCCTGCACAAAACAGATTAAGCTAAAATCTCCATCCCTTCTTCACACAGGGTGTTTAGGACCAACTATGGTGACACTAATACCCCCTTTGTCACAGAGTAATCAGAACTATCAAGAGATAAAGGTGAACATCCAGGCAACACAGAAGTCAGACCTGACTCAAGTGGCTTGGGCTCGACTTTAACATCTCTGTAAATGGGCTTTTCAGCACCATTAATGACGCTGTGCTGCTCAAAACTGTGTGAAGCAACACTGACATCGAGTGGCTTTGCTTGGTATTTTTTTTTTTCGGTTTTTGCAGCTTCCAAGAGCACTGTGTAGATCTGATACTGACTCATGATGGGTTTTGAACTCAACAATATTAATCTCATAGTTTAATAACACAGTATGTTAAAAATAAAAGATATATAGCATCAATAAAAGGTTTACTCACTACTATTCGAATGTATTTACTGGTCAGATATTTAAGACAGGAGGCCAGCTGATAGAGATTAACAAGGTACTGAA